TCACCACTACTACATTGTATTTGATTAGGTTCTGGCAATCCCACTATCATCTGAACAGAAAATCCCAACTTCTTCCCTCCCTCGTGCCATCAAATTATTAGAAGAAACAAATATATCACTATCATTAAATGCTGCCTAAGATCATCAATTTATCCTCTCAATAAGGTTTCGACCAAAAAAAAAAAAAAAGTCGACAAGAGCAAGGCTCTCCACACAACCAAAACGGAAAAAAGAAAAAGAGGAAGGGGTGGTGGTGGTGGTGATGGTTGAGGGGGCAGCGAAGAAGGGATATGAACACTTTCAGTACAAAACATGCATGGATCAATTATGCAAGTTTGGATCTAATTCCTCAAATTTACATTTTGGAATGCGGAAAAGAATCAAAGCAGTTGAAAAGCCACACAAAATCTGTTCATCGATGAAAGCTAGCATACGGCAATCAAACAACAATTGATTTTGTTCTTACAGGGGGAACAATTCTCGTTATGGCGCAACCCACTGGTGACTAACACTAATGTCAAAATCACTTGCATACAGAAAACATAGTGTGTGGTATTCAGGTCAGAACATGAGCCACAGTCGTTTGTTACTGCAGTTAATTTCCCACGTTCATGTCATTTCCTCACAATAGTAGTTGCTAATTTACATTGTAGTTAATCAATAATGAAAAAATATTAAATCTTATTGAAAATGTAACAAACCAAAACAACAATCAATACTCATACAGGTGGAAAGGGAGGGACTTGAAAATTGTGCCAACCTCTTTGAACCCTTCTTCACTTACCCAACTTCAGATTGCTCACTCCAACACCCAACTTTTCCACATTAGATACATTTTTCGTCTCCTTCTGTGTACAGCTTTTGATATTGAGCCATGGGTGTTGCAGGCACTGCTGAGCAGTGGGCCGCTTCTCTGGTGTGAAATCGAAAAGGGGACCAAGAAATTCTGCAAACACCTGAGCATCACTTTCAGAGAATTTGTATTTTTCAACCAGCAAGCGATCAAGTGACCAAAACTTCAGCCTCCGAATCCTCTTTAGATCTCCATGCCTGTCAAAATAATCCTTAGATAGAGCTCCCCCAACAGCTATCTGTTCACATTACAATTAAAAAAATAAATGAATAAGGGGTAATTAGAAAACTGTAGGAGGCTGTTGAGGAAATACATGCCTACCTTTCTTGGCATCTTCCCAAGGAGTTCCATCATTAGAGCAAGGTGATCCTGAAACCATCGCAAAAAACAGTTCCATTAGCATATAAAATGAACAAAGTCTCACAGACACAGACATTCAAAATCAGTCTGGTACAATGCATATATGCAACATACAGGTTTATCAAGAAAATAACTCTCTCAAGGCAAAACAGAAGTTCAATCTGGACACATGTCATCCATTCATTGGTCTCAGACAATAACAGTAATGTTTCCTCTTGGCACATGCCATCTTCCCAGCAACATCCTACATTTTTGTTGTGTTTTACCCATGAAGAACAGTAAAAGGAAATGAAAGACAGGGTTGGTTCTAATTAGATTAAAAAATGGACAGCATATGAGAACAGAAATATAAGTCATATCGAAACCAGTTTACATTAATAACCTCAACACAGAAGCCAGCTTGCAATATAGTTTTCCTACGATTTTACTATATTAGTATTTGCTATCCTATCTTTGAATACAGCATATCCTGCACAAATTTTATTAAAACTTTAGAATTCAGTGTGGGTTATCCTAATAATTCCAATTTCTCACAATGTTAAAATCCAGAAAAAACCAGCCTACCTCATCTTCACTATAGCCTTGTCCATCCTTAGGAGCGAACAACATGTCCCCAGTAGCAAGCTCAAATGCCGTACAAGCAAAAGACCACATATCAACAGAGAAGGAATACCCAGATCGCAGTATGACTTCAGGAGCTCTATACTGTCTGGTTTGAATTTCTTCTGCAAATTGCTTATCGGCCCAACATGCATTTCCAAAATCAACAACCTTGCACCTCACATCAATCCCATCCAGAGATCTCTCAGACTTTTGCATGGCTCCTCCCATCGAATCTCTTCTTCCTGATATCTTAGCAACTGCCCTCTTTGCCCTCCTTTTCAACTTCTTCTCGATGAGATTCATAGTCGAACTACCATTAAGGTTACCCTCAGGCCTTTCCAGGATTGGTGTGAGCCCAGACCTAATTGGATCCTTGGCAGGATCAATGGTGGAGAAGAGAAGAATATTTTCGGGTTTTAGGTCAGTGTGGATTATTCCAAGTTCTCTATGCAAGCAATCCAAACCTGTCAAAATGCATTTACAGATCTCTCTAACTTTATCCAATTCAAGACCTTTGTAACGATTATGCCTGATTAACCTGAGTAAACTGTCACCAAGAAATTCAAGGACCATGCACTGATGCTGCCCATTTGGCCCTGCATGCTTGAAGTGGTCAATCAGTTGCACAACGCACTTTGAATTTGAGGGGTCACTATTAGCTACAGCTGAAAGGAGTTCAATCTCATGAAGCGCGGCTTGAGCAAATTGTGCTGCACTTTTCTGGATCTTAAGAGCAACATATTTCTGGAAACAAAATCAAAATTGCAATAAGATAAAACAAAAAATCAACAGAATCTCAAATCAAGCTAAGAAAATTGTAAAAGAAGAGGAAAAGTTGACGCCTTTATGCAACAAGCAATAATTCCAACTATAGAACATGCTTATACATATATATATATGTATGTATGTCTAATCTGAAAAAAACGGCCTCATTGATCTTATCATAAAAATAATTAAATTGTATGATATTTTTAAAAATGACAAAAAATAAAAATAAAAAATACTAATATTAAACAAACAAATAACGGCCTCATTGATCTTATCATACAAAACACATCCCAAAACCGGAAAAAAGAAAAAGAAAAGAAAAGAAAAAGTAACCACATATAGAAAAATAAGCATTTCCTAAAAAAAGCAAAAAAGTGATAAATTAAACATTTCATCAGTAATGATCCAAAGAATAATAAACGTTTTTTTTTTTTTTTTTTTTAATGTAAATTCCTTAGTTAAACATTTCTTCATTAAAATAAAAGTGCAATCACTATAAGTAATTAATGTTGACCCTGTAAGATTTAATGATCACAATAATTACTAATTTTTGACTAAATTTGAAATAATAATCATATGATTTAAATTTAAGAAAAGGAAAATTAAATAAAAGAGAGAGAGATCGAAACATACAGATGATCGAGTGTCGTAAGCGAGCCAAACAGTAGAAAACTGGCCCCACCCAAGCTTTCTCTGTGCAATATAACGGCCACCGGAGAACTGATCCCCAATCCTCACGGCATGATAACCTCCTTTACGGTATGAATCGATTCCCTCATCATCCTCCTCTGATCCCGAAGACGATGAACACGACATCGTTTGAATCAATGAACAGAAAAGTTAAATCAAACCAAGCAGTAGCGTATTGATATATATATATATATATATATATATATATATATATATATATATATAAACCACAAAGTGCCTTGTATCCGATTTTTGATCTGAATTTATATCTGGTTTGAAGCTTTGATCGGGGTGTGTTATTCCAAGAGAGTCTCCACCTTTTTCTCTCCTCTTTTTAAAGGAGTGGGCATTTGTAAATTGGGCTTTTTAAAGTGGCGATCTGAATTTCCATTTTTAGCCTCTCTTTTCTTACTTGCTGATTGGTGATTGATCATATTAGGTGGGGCTGTATTTGGTTTGGTGGATTGAGCTAATCACTTTTCTTTGGATCAAGCTTTTCCATGGTTGAGAACCCTCTGCCCAACTCCCTACTGCCCATGCCCTCCCTTCTTATTTACATAAACATCACATTCTATTTATTTATTTCAGGATCACATAAAAGGTACCCTCGAGTTAATTTGTAGTTTTCTTGTGACATGGTTTTAACTATACTCAATCTAATATATTTAAAATTATTTATTTATGTATTGGTTTTCCAATGAATAAATAAATAAATAAATAAAATACATTTTTAACCATAATACACGGTAATTTGTGTTTATTACAAGGCTATTCGGAGAGGTGAGGTATACTTGTAGATATATGTACAAAACATATAGTTTTACCTTAATACATGCATGTTTGAGAAGTTTAAAACCACCTTTTCCTTTCTCTCAAATTCCTAAATATATCATGTATTTACTCTTCCTCGCCCTTATTATTATTTGTCAAAATATTTTAAAAATTGCAAATAAATTCATATGTTGATGCATGCTATAAACAACAAAAAGAATACTCAAGTTTCATCAAATAGAAGGATAATTATCATTTTGACAAGTGATGTCAAATATATATATATATATTTTTTTTATAAAAAAAACTACTATTAGAACATACACGAATGTTAGATTATTAGACATACCATTAAGTTTTATATTAATTAATAGTACGATTCAATAGTTCATAACCTTCTTAAAGTTTTTATTTACATATAGTTTTTTCAATTTTAACATATATTATTGGAATGCAAATTAATTTCAGATAATGTTAATTACGTACTTGTCATGCTAGATAATGTTAATTACTAATTTTCAGTTAAGACCTGGCTTGCTAGTAAATTTGAAGATTGTTTTTTTTTTTGCCTTTCCCAGAACCTCCAACACCCACTAAATATTTGACTACTATTATTATTTTAACCATGCGTAGACACTAGACAGACGATGCCGTACAACCCTGACGTAAATTTTCCCTCCCCATCCAAAACCGAACGACACCGTCTTTACAAAAAACAATAAACCTCCTCTACGTAATCAATAGCTGGCCCTTAATCTCTTTTTTTACTCTCTCTCTCTCTCTCTCGCTCTTTTCAGGCATCGATGCTTGTCATATAAATGTTCTTTTATTCAATAACGAAATTAAAAAAGAAAACCGGGTTCTGAAATTTTGTGACCTTCCCCAACTTGATCGGAAGATCACCGAAAAACCACCAACAAATCTTGCTGCCGGAAGAAATTGTTTGAATTCGGAAATGGCGAATTCCAATTCGAATAGTGCGGATCTATTTGATTCGTATTTTAGAAGAGCAGATTTAGACGGTGATGGTCAGATCAGTGGTGCTGAAGCTGTCGGTTTCTTTCAAGGTTCCGGTTTGCCCAAACAAGTCCTCGCTCAGGTTCCTCTCAATCCACTGTTTCTTATTATTGTTTTTGGATTAGATCATTTCGAATTTTTTTTTAATCAGATTGCCAGGTTTTGGACCAGTTATTTACAAATGTTGATTTCGATATAGAACCAACTGTGAGGTAATGTTTGCGGTAGTGAGGGATACAAAAAGATTAGTTATTTAAGCTTATTTGTTTTAATTAGAGGATAATTGATTAAAAAAATTTCATTTTGGATAATGGTAATCAGTAAGTAATGTTTGGAACGGTGAATTCTTATTATTGTTTATTTGTCTTGTTGAGATCATGGAAGGAATTGAAGATGCCTAGTTTTTGATTTTGGGTCTGGTGTTTTGAGAGAGAAGCTGATGAATTACCATGTGAATGGATGCTTTTTAGTTGCTTCTAGAAGTTGAAAGAGTTTAACTTTTAGTAGTATGGTAGAATTTTGAATTTTCAATGGTGGGTTTTTTTCTTTTTTCCTGGATTGTGTGAGAAATGGGTAGTTGTGGTGAATTTTGTGGATTTGATCATAGCATGCGGAGTTTTGTACTCTATATTTTGCTGTTCATGTGTTAACAATGTTTCTTCTTGTGCTATGTTCTTCTAATGACCGAGCTTGCTCGGGTCTTTACTTTCACATTCATAATGGATGTTAAATGTCTAGAAGAAAACGTTTTGATTTGCTGTTAGGTATGTAATGTGGTAAAAGAACTGATTCTCCTGTCCAAAGACAGAAAACATGTGTAATGTATGCATGTTGTGTAATTTATAAGTAATGCTTGCCAATGTGAATTCTTATTATTAGTAAGTTTACTGTCTGATTAAGATCATGTACAGAATTGAAGATGCATAGTTTTTGATTTTTAAGTCTGGTGCCTTTGAGAGAGAATTGGATGAATTACTATGTGAATGGATGGTTTTTAGTTGGTTCTAGAAGTAAAAAATTGTTGATGAGCTAGACATTTTGAGGGTGGTAGCTTGTTGGAAATGTTGTGTTCGGTTTTTGAATTGTAGTTTGGTGTTTGAATATAAAGCTGAGGTCTTTTTCTGTAGGATTGTGCAAGGAATGGGTAGTTATTTTTGGTGTATTTTTGTTGATTCAATCATAGCATGTGTAGTTTTGTATTCTGTATCTCGTGGTTGGTGTATTAACTATTTTCTTTCTGTATGGGCTATGTTCTCCTTAAGATTGAGTTGAGTTAGTTTCTAAATTATATGTTGATCGTGCATATAATGTCTGAAAGAAAACTTTTTGATTTGGTGTTAGTATTTAAGAAAGGGAAGAACTGGTTGTTCTGTTAAAAGACCGAAAACCTGTGTAACGTGTGTGCACTTGTGTCTGTGCATGTGTGTGTAAGAATTTAATTGTTCCCCCTTTTTTGGAATGATTTTCCACGAGGATATTCACATTTTCTTTTTGAAATAACCTTCACATTGGGGTCTCAAATCTTGGTGTGTTAAAACAAGTGTCTGAGATTCACTTATTCTCTGTGCAGGTGTGGATGCATGCTGATCAGAGGAAAGCAGGCTACCTTGGTCGACAAGAGTTCTACAATGCACTTAAACTTGTTACTGTGGCACAGAGTAAGCGAGAGTTGACCCCAGAAATAGTGAAGGCAGCATTATATGGTCCTGCTTCAGCTAAAATTCCTGCTCCTCAAATCAACCTAGCAGCAACTCCTGCTCCTAAAGCAGCAGCACCTGCTCCCCAGCTGGCTGGCACTACATCAGCACCATCACCAAATATTGGCATTAGACCACCACAAGTGCCTTTAAATGCAGTCACAAACCAGCAGTATTTCCCATCTCAGCAAGGCCAATTTATGAGGCAACCACCCCAACCTCAAACCCAAGTCATGGCTCCAAGTTCTGCTTCTCATCCACAACAAGTTCTTGCAAGTCAAGGTATTCCCAGGGGAGGTACCATGGCTGCTCCTCGGCCTCCAAATTCAAACATCTCAACCGATTGGCTTGGTGGAAGTGCAGGTGGCCTGACTTCACAAGCTCCCAGTAGAGGGATTAGTCCTCCTGCAACTCAGGATGGATTTGGGCTCAGTGCACCAGGTTTTGCCCCCTCTGTTCAACCTAGACCACAGGTGACCGCTAATCAGATGACAGCCCCTACTCCTAAACCGCAAGAAGCAGCCATCACATCCAACCAACCAGCAACTAAGGATTCTAAATCAGTGGTTGTTTCTGGGAATGGATTTGCTTCAGGCTCACTTTTTGGCGATGTATTTTCTGCTACTCCTGCTCAACCAAAGCAGAGTTCCTCATCAGCTGCACCTTCTACAAGTAGCATACCTGTCTCGCAGGCTATTGTTCCATCTTCTGTTGGATCCCAACCTTCAGTTAAGCCAAGTTCCCTGGATTCTTTGCAGAGTACATTTTCTCAGCAGGATGTGGGCGGTCAATTAACTCGAAGACCAAACCAGCAGGTTCCTCCTCAAAATGTCACCTCTGCTCCTTCAACTGGTTTTCCTGTTGGAACTAGCAATGCAGCTCCCAGTCAATCCCAGCCTCCATGGCCGAGGATTACTCAATCTGATATTCAAAAGTACACGAAAGTGTTTGTGCAAGTTGACACAGATAGAGATGGAAAGCTTACCGGGGAACAGGCACGCAACCTTTTCTTAAGCTGGAGACTACCAAGAGGTAGACTACTAGACTTGTCCTCTTTTAGTAATCCTGCTTAAACTGTGCAATTTTGTCATAAGCCCTTTGGCTTAGAGTATATATCTAAGATTGAAAGGGAAAACACAACCTACAACATAAGTTAATCTAGTGATGGCCATATTTCTCAATATTAAATGTTGTTAGCTTAAGATTTATTACATAAATCAATGGTATTTCTTGCCATTTTAGAAATTCATTTTATTTGGGTAGGAAGAAACGAATTTTTCTGAAGAACATGGCGGAGGACAGAGATGCGTTATCCCTGACGTATAATAAAATAAATGGGTTGCTAAAACTAAAATCTCATGGATTGATCAGATCACCATTGCAAGTGTGTCTTGTCAATAGTTGAGGCATGCAATTAAGTATTCAAGCAGTATTTACTTTTCTTGACATTTTTCTTTTCGGATCATATGTTATTTCTTTTCATAATGTGGTGTGACACTTTAGATGTAGTTTCCTCAAAATATGAATGTTTTGAGTTTGGGAATTTCTTGAATGGTAAACATTTCTTTTCTTAATCAAATTTCATTAAATTAACTATTATTCTTGATGTTTCAGAGGTGTTAAAAAAAGTTTGGGATTTATCCGATCAAGATAATGACAGCATGCTTTCTTTGAGGGAGTTCTGTACTGCTCTCTATTTGATGGAGCGTTATAGAGAAGGTCGCCCTCTTCCTGCAACTCTTCCAACTACTATCACGTCTGATGAGACTCTGTTGTCTGCCACAAGTCATCCTGCAGCTTCATATGGTGCTGGAAATTGGGGACCTGCTTCCGGTATTTTCTTCTTTTATCGCATCACAAGCTTTCATTATTGATTTCTTTCTTCTTGCATTCATCGTGGATTCCCCTTTTTGAATGGAAAAATGAATCTCAATAGGTTTGCGGCAACAAGTTGTGACGGGTGCACGGCCACCACCTGCCGCCGCTGCAAGGCCGCCAAGGCCACCTACTGCTCCTCATGCTGATGAAAAACAGCCCACGCAACAAAAGTCCAAAGTTCCTGTGCTTGAAAAACATCTCGTGAATCAACTCAGCCAAGAGGAGCAGGATGCTCTCAATGCAAAGTTCCAAGAGGCATCTCAGGCTGCCAAAAAGGTATTTCTTGTTCTTTTTGTGCACTCATTTGTGGGAGTGTTAATTTTGTTTAGTCCATTTGGTATTCGTATATTATCTTGTTTAAATGAGACAAATTTATGTTCATTTGCCATGAAAAAGATTTGAGTTGCATCAAGTTATAGAATGAAGATGACAAGTATATATGAGGTGTTTTTGAGTCATAGATTTTCTTTATATGAGATTGTTGTTTTTAATCATTGGTCTTTAGTTTTTGCTTATCGCAAAATAAAATAAAATAAAACTTTTGCTTCTCTTTGAGTGCAGGTAGAAGAACTGGAAAAGGAAATATTAGATTCTAGACAGAAGATTGAGTTCTATCGTGTCAAGATGCAGGAACTTGTAAGTATGCTCCCAATTTTGTTTTTCCTTTATGACCGTCAATGTATTATGTGTATGATGTCCTTTGCTAGTATGAAAAAATTGCTTTGAAGTATTCAGGTTGAACTGTTTTAGCTGTTTAGTCTGTCATGTTTTGGTTTTGGAGGCAAGCTCCTCTAACCATTCTCTCTGTTTTTTTATTTTTATTTTTTTTGACTGAATATGTGTAAACTAATTGTGCCTGACTCGTTGTGTTTAATTTTTGTATGCAATCTCATTTCATCATTTTTTTTTCCTATTGGAAATCTCATAAATGCACAAACTACAGCTTAAAATATCATAAGGTCGTGAATATACTAAGAGCTCAAAACCAAAGGTATTGGTCAATGGCATCTAAAGCCGTATTATGAGTTGGGGATTGAAGTCATAAAAACAAAGAAGATTCAAGCTGGACTAATTATACTGATAAAAGAAATGAATCATTCAGCTCCAAAACTTACTATTTGGGATAGAGAGCAGGAAAATATCTGTTTTCTTTGCTGATATTCCTATTGCCATCCTTCTGTTATTTGGCATCAGATTTTATATAAAAGCCGATGCGACAATCGGCTTAACGAGGTCACAGCTAGGGTATCTTCTGATAAGCATGAGGTATTTCTTTTTCTTGCGTGATTTGTTTGAATTCTCCATATCATATCTATTGCTTATTGAAATAACAGGGCCAACATGTTTGTTTAAGGTTGAGACATTAGGAAAGAAGTATGAAGAGAAATACAAGCAGAGTGGAGATGTTGCCTCCAAACTAACCATTGAAGAGGCTACATTTCGTGATATTCAGGTAATTTAGGAACTTTGGTGGTGAATTTTATCTTATGCGTTTCTCTTTTCCTCTGTATACACTTATTTGGATGTTAAACAAAACTTACATTGTACTTGATAACTGCAGGAGAAAAAAATGGATTTATATCGATCAATTGTTAAAATGGACGAAGGGGGAGCTGCTGATGGTGTAGTGAAGGTGCACTTTGTCATCATTACTTTCTGGAGATAGTATGAAACTTGTGTGTAAGTCCTGTTTTTAATGGCTTTTGCAGGAGCGTGCTGAGAATATGCAATTGAGTCTTGAGGAACTAGTAAAAACTGTGAATGAACGCTGCAAACAATATGGATTGCGTTCTAAACCAACCTCACTGGTCGAGCTTCCTTTTGGTATCTCCATGATGTTATCAACCCTCTGGCTTTTATATCACATGTGCAATCTTGAAATTTTTTGGCTCATTTAGATGATGGATTGACTTCAAATCTTCAATTTAGCTTGTTCTGTCACTCCTTGTATGCTAGAAGTTTGTGCTATGACAATTATGAACTTTATTGTTGTTGTGTTTAACTTGGAAAAATACACCATGTGCTTTCTCTTATGAAACTCGATCTCTTTTATTATTTTGGTGTCAACTGCATTTCCAATCCCCCAAAAATGTTTCAAATCTCAGACTCGCAGTTTGTTATCCAGTGCAAAGATCATGTTGTATTTTCCTTGCTTGCAACCTTTCATCCTTCCTTTTGCTTTTTTACATCAGGATCATTACTTACTCTCTTCCTCTTGATCTTTCTTTAGGCTGGCAACCTGGAATCCAGGAAGGAGCAGCTGATTGGGATGCAGGTTGGGACAAGTTTGAAGATGAAGGTATGCTAAATAATTGTCTATTGGATTTAGTTGACTTGAATTTCTGCTCTGGAGGCATTGGAGTTCTTGTTTCCTTGGAATTGTACGTGATGCTTTCTTTTCGGTATGAAATCTCAACCACATTAATGTTCTTATGAACATTGCTATTTGTGACTTTCAGGATTCACGTTTGTCAAAGAGCTCACTTTGGATGTACAAAATGTTGTGGCCCCTCCAAAACAAAAAACTTCAGTTCGACAGGAAACAACTTCCTCAGAAAAGGATTTAGGTGCTTCACCCTCAAATGGTGAGGCGAAGTCTGAAGAGGTTTCAAGTCCAAGCAAATCAAATTCCAAGAAAGATCTGTCGGATCATCAACATGAGAATGGCATTCCTGCTGGAAGTAGTACAACTGAGAGCCAATCCAATGAATTCCGAGACTCCCCATTCAAAGAAGGTGGTGCAGACAATTCACCCAATGCTAAAGAAATCCAAAGGTATGGTTCAATTTGTGATTTTTGCAACGATATATTGCTGTGCCCCTCTCTCAAAGGTAAGTTTTACCAAAACCCAAAAGTTGTGTGGGCTTGGCATGACAGTTCAGATGAGTCTATCCTGCTAACAGCTTTCTGCTTTTAATGCTTCATTTGGATGTCTAAGCTTACTGGTACACTTGTGCAGTGATGTGGGCGGTACTGAATCTGTGCATTCTGGTGACAAAATTGTTGAACCCAGCTGGGGTACATTTGATGACACACATTATGATACAGAATCCGTTTGGGGCTTTGATTCTGTCAGCGGAAAGGTATGGAAACTTGGGTCTTCTTTTTTCTATTTGATGTTGACAATCGGAATTATTTCTTGGTGTTTAAGAATTGTGAAAGTTGTTTTAAGTCGAAGGAAGAGATTGGTTGTGCATGCATTCATATGTTTTTTATGTGTGAGTTACATTCTCATACTCGTTATTATGATCTTTATTATGTTTATTTAGGCAATTCTAATACTTTGCAAGAAATTGAAATCTATCATTTTGATTGGGGAAGTGAGTGTTTGCAGTAGGTTTGGCATGGGAACTGTTTAATCTCTTTCTGTACCTTTTCCTCTTTCTTGCCTTGTTCTTTCATGCAAAAAAATCTGAATGGATTGATCTAATATTGTTCTTGCAGGACATGGATTTTGGCATTGGTGAATTTGGTTTAAATCCAATAAAAACAGGGTCCTCACATGGAGATAACATGTTCCCAGGGAAGAGCCCATTTATGTTTGATTCTGTTCCGAGCACCCCAGCTCATAACCAGGGGAACAACTCTTATGCATTTGCAGATTCTGTTCCAAGCACCCCTGCATATAACGAGGGGAAGAGCTCCTATGCATTTGCAGATTCTGTTCCAAGCACCCCTGCATATAACCAGGGGAAGAGCTCCAATGCTTTTGCAGATTCTGTTCCAAGCACCCCTGCATATAATCCAGGGAGGAGCTCCTATGCATTTGCAGATTCTGTTCCAGGCACCCCTGCCTATAACATGGGAAAGAGTCCATTTTCATTTGCAGATTCTGTTCCTAGCACCCCAGCATACAATTTTGGGAACTCACCACGAAGGTTTAGTGAAGGCTCAGAGGACCACTCCTTTGACAACTTCTCTAGGTTTGATTCATTTAGCATGCAAGATGGTGGATTATTTCAATCTCCACGCCATTCTCTTTCAAGATTTGATTCCATGCGCAGCACTAAGGACTCAGATCAAAGTTATGGGTTCCCATCAAGGTTTGATTCCTTCAGAGAAGGTGGAGACTCTGATCAAAGTCATGGGTTTTCAAGGTTCGACTCATTCAGAGAGTCTGATCAGAATCATGGATTTTCGAGGTTTGATTCCTTCAAAGAGTCTGATCCAAGTCATGGGTTCTCGAGGTTTGATTCCTTCAAAGAGTCTGATCCAAATCATGGGTTCTCGTCAAGTTTCAGTTCATTTGGAGAATCTAGAGACACTGATCATAGTCATGGATTCTCAAAGATGGATTCATTTAATGCCCATGACAGTGGGTTCTTCCAATCATCTGACAATTCCCTAGCAAGGTTTGATTCTGGGCGTGGCTCTAAAGACACTGATAATAATCATGGATTCCCATCATTTGATGATACGGATCCATTTGGCTCAAGTGGACCATTTAGGACATCACTAGAGAGTGAAACTCCGCGTGGAAGTTCTGATAACTGGCGAGCTTTTTAGTCAGGTAATGAACATGAGAGGTCAATATGCGCTTTGCTTCAATTTGAAGCTTTTGTGAGATTTCTTACTGTAGTTCTGGCGGCGCATTTCTTCCATTATTATATAGTCCATGATGATGAATGAGTGGTTGTGCCTGGTGGTTCTAGCCCCTGTTTGATTTTGCAGATCCGATTTGTTTTCTGAATTTCCAATATTCAGTTACTCTTGTGGCTGTTTCTTTTGGTGTTGTAGTTTTTTCGATTAGGACAGATGAATGTATGTAATTTCTAAAAAAATGTATACTGTCACTTAAGTTTTGTGATGTGGAAGTCAAATTTGTATTCTTCATTTATGAAGGACTCCATGGCCAGGAACAATATAGTTATGGAGATGATTAAATTCATTGTATTTGCGTGGTCAATTTTTTTAGGGAGTTTAAATCCCATCTATACCAAATAGTAGACATGCTATCCAATATAATTGGACATTTTAAAGAAAATTTACTTCTCATATTCTCCTTTCGGATAGAAATCTAAAATAAATAATATTCAAAAAATCCGCTTGAAAATTATTTGTTTCTCATATTTCTAATAATTTGCATATTTTGTTGAAGTCGTGGGTGGCCTAGGTAAGGTAAGGACTGAGGGAAAAGCATAGGCAATGACATTATTTTTGCGGGGTCATGAGCGTGCTGAATGGTTAGTTTCAGTTACTATAAAATATGGAGAAGCTAATTAATGGTCCAGTGTGCTGAAAAACAACATAACCCACATTTTGTGGTGCCCTCCTCCTATAACCTTTCATATATACGTAAGATAGAAGAGATTCTATCTTCTAAAGAAATACTGCTGTGTTTACCCATTTATCTACAGGTAAAACTTGCTCCTTTGTAGTGGAAATTCTAAACTGATCTAGATAGCGCACTATATATGCCTTGCCTTACCTCAGCTCTCTTTCTCACACACACACACATACAGACACAAAAATCTAGCAGCCAAAAAACACAAAGCAAAAAAGGAGAGAAAAGGAAGAGAGAAGGACAATGACTGCATGACCCCTTTCCAACAACCACCAATGACGAGTGTCGGACTGCCATCACCAGCAGGAGGAGATGAAGCAAGTGTTGCCGGTCCGCCATCTTTTCGATTCCAAATGTATTCCCATCCTCGCGAGTAAGCCATTATTTTGAAAAAAGATTGAAGCCGACAACAGAATAAGGATGAAAGAAAACTAAGTAACATCGTCAATTTAAATGATAAAATCAAAGAGAAGTATTCGACATGTTAAAGTGATCCTTAGTTTATAAACTCTTAAACACATTTTGAGTTTTTTTTTTTTAATCATTTTGTGAAAAAATAGAAAAGAAAGAGACTTGATCTATTTGCATGTGGCACATCATTGTTTATGGCATCAAATTGCAAATTCTGATGACAAGAAGAACAACAAAACAAAGAAATCCTTTTGACCTAAAAACCACACTTTGAGATCATTCAAAACACCTTTTATTTCGAAAAACACCATTCGAGTTCTTCACTCTCAAAATAACCAAGCTTCTTAATCAATTCTCAAAGAAACCGAGAGAATATTCATTTTCAAAATCCCTTTTGCAATCCATTATTTGAGCAATATGTTTTACTTTGTGACCATCTAATCGAACAATTATTAAAGGAAAATGCTTTTCAATACACATCTCTAAGATTTCTTTACAACAATTTGGGCTGATAAGAAAAATGCCATTAGATTTTGCTAATTGATCTCCAAAATAAAATAATTAATTTTTAAAAAAAGTTCTTCTCAATTTGTCTTGAATTTGCAAAAGTATGAGTTAAGAGGTTAAACAAACAAGTAGTTAGAGATAACATTGAAATGCTCCACACAATGTAATAGATCAAATAAAGCTAAACCAAGTGTAAGATGGATGACACAAAAAATAACTAAATTCATGGCATAATGGCTAAATAATGCAAGATGATAATACTAAGTGTTCCTCGATGATAAAATGAACACAATCTAGGCTAGTAAAATATGACTTGGGAGCGAGCAATAGATCATAGCCTAAGGGCGGACAATAGTTTAATACACGTTAACACTTGATGGAGGCACATGACCAATCGAATTCTAGAGTTAACATTCACCAAGAGAGCATGAAGACGACCATGACGTTCATGATCATGATATTATGGGGTGCACTATGATCTAACAATAAAGAGAGGAATCACATTCTTATAGACAAAATGAAATAGTAGCAAGACTAAACTACATACGAGTAAATTCAAAATCTCTTAAAGAAGCTTTAGTGAACTAGTAGTTGAGACAAGATTTGGGCCAATTCTCTAAATTCAAGGCAAAGAGTTGAGATTTACAAGGTGTGATCTATATTTCTTAGAGAAGCACTATCCTTAATGAAACCCACTCTATCACTATTGTAGACAAAAAGAATTCAAACATGAGTAAGGAAAAACCCTTATCTTTTAAGTTTATTATTCACAAACCAATCTTTTAAAAGCATCTAGGTGGTGACCTCGTCGAGATGATCGATTTTTAAAAAATATCAAGGTGGTCACCTTATCGAGATGACAAGTCTTTCTAAGAATATCCGAGTATTCGACTCGTCGAGATGATCAATTGTGTTTTTAAATGTCTAGGTGGTCATCCTATCGAGATGACTAGTTTTTTTAAAAGTATTTAGGTGGTTACCCTATTAAGATAACCAGTCTTTCTAAAAATATCTAAATGATCATCCTATTGAGATGATTAATTTTTTTAATAATGTGTCTAGGTGGTCACCAAGTCGATGACTCGTCTTAAAAAGGTTTCCAGGAGGTCACCTTGTAATAATGGACTAGTTGTTAAGAGGTCACTTTGTAATAGTTGACTAGTTGTTAAGAGATCACCTTATAATAATGGACCGAGTCCCGTAATAGTGGACCAATTTCTAGGAGATCACCTTGTAATAGTTGACCAATTATTTTTTTTGTCAAGTTAGGTCGTCACTCTATAATAGTTGAAAATTCTTTTTTTGTAGTCATATCTCTTATTTACAAGTTTACTAAGTCAATATGTATAAAAACTTGTCTTTCTACATCTTTGACAAGTAAACATTATAAAGAGAGAAATTTGCTATCATCATCTAATAATAATAATAATAATAATAATAACAAAGAAAAGAATAAAAAATAAAGGAAAAAAGAAATAAAAAAGGTGGAGGGCTTGGACGACCTAGGTGCGCGATAGGCTTCACATCCGGCCGAAGCACACTAGCTTTGGGCCTATCCGAGCCTAGCCTAAATAACTCAATTAGAAAAAAACCCTAAAAAGGAAAACCTTAAATTGACCTAGATAGCATACTATATACCCTATCTCAACTCATTCTTACACACATGCCGACACCTAAACACAAAAAACTAGTAGGCAAAAAACACAAAGCCGAAAAAGAGAAAAGAAAGAGAGAAAGATAGTGATGGTGTGACCCCTTCCCAAAAATTATCGACAACATGTGCCAAATCACCATCATTGGTAAGAGGAGATAAAGCCAGCACTACTAGTTCATCTCCATTTCAACTCTAGACACACCCCCATGCATGCAAGTAAACCTCCGCCATTCCCGCCACATATGCCTTCACATGTCGGTATGGGTCTTTAGTCATTGTCGCTTTTCTTTCAATTTAGTTTATGAACTTCTAATTTGATGTTTATATCCTTGCTTTTTTAATTTCTTTTAGTTAATTTTCATTTGAATTTTACATGTTGCATGATTATTTCTTTGACTCGTGTTCTAGTAATATCGATAAGGTAATTAACATAATATTTGAATGATTAATCAAACTAAAATTATTTAATCTGGTGTTAATTTAAAATATCTGAATAATGAGCCCTTGATGTTATTTGAGAGATTTAAAAGGCTTAAATCTAAGTTCTTTGTTGTTGACTTGTTTAAAATTTAACCTAATCCGGGTAAAGAGTATGTGATATTTTTTGCATTTATCTTATCTTTATTTTTAATTTATATTTATATTTTCTTAAAAATAACGTTAACGGTATTTGACTTTATATAATATATATTTTTTATTTTTCATATAAAAAGTTTCTAAAAAGCTCGTTGGCCAATGATGGAACTATCCATATGCTAGCATTTTTTGTTCTATGGCGAGAAAATTAAAATATGCCAATATTGAATTAATAGGCCAAGGACTTTATGGAGACCAACTGGCTATTTTATTTTCTATAAAGTCATTTTTACATAATTTGTGGCCTTTACATGCTTAATTTATTTAGGAGATGTGATGTCAATCTAGGTCAATTTAGATTAATAGATTTAGGACCTAAGACCAATTTTGTTCCAACACAAGGCTTTCGCTATCATCATCATCATCATATTTTTATTCTCATTATTATTTTTTATTTCATTTTATTTTTTAGTACTATTAATTTTATCTTTTTGCAGATTTATTCTTGAATTTGGTGTTAGACATTGTGCCTAATTTTATTATTTTAAAAGTAGCATGAAAGATGGATACGAGCTTAAGGCTTATGTCTATATTTTTATATTATTTTATCTTTGACTAGTAATTTTATTGTATGTTTTGGCATTTGAACTTAGGCCTATTGGTTGAATTTATTGTATTTTATGTTTTATTATATTGTATGGAGTTTGTGTTCTCTAATTTTTACTTTTTCAAGTGGGCTCTAATGGCTCAATAAAAACTTAGGTGAGAGACTAAATCTTATTTTTGTCTCTAAATCACCTCATTTAAGACTAGTTAGAAATACCGAATAATCAACTCATAAATCATGGTCGAAAAGTGGACATGTAATTAAACTTTGTTAACAAAAAAATTTATCATAGATTAAAATTGAATGATAGACTCATTACGAAGGCACGATAAGGTGGTCATAGTCTTTCTTAATTGTGTAATCAACCCTCTTAGCTGTAACTTTTATGACTAATTTTCTAGGCTTCTTTTTTTTTTTTTTTTAATGTATAGAAAAACCGAGTGGTGACTTTATTTTTTGAACATATT